CTCTTCGTTTCGTTTGTGTTACCTTTGTGGTTTATGGTAGAATGAATCAAGGAGCGAATACTCAGACCGTAGCTCCACTAGACCCTAATTCCATGGAGGTAACAATCTCTCGCTTCCTCTCTTTCGATTTTCCAATTCACACACACACAAAAAATCTAATCTTTATATGCAAGTGATGCTTTTTTTGTGCTTCGATTAATTGGTTGCTTCCGTGAATTGGATTTGGGTGATTATTTGGTCCAATTGATTCTTCTTTATTTATGTTTCTTAGTTCATCATTGTGGTGATGGTTAGGGGAACTTTTTGCCTATCAATATGTGTTTATGCAGCAGAAGAAAGTGATTTTTGTTAACATTCAGTTTTTCCACTGTTAACGCTTTTTTCGTTGGTCGCAGAATCGATATGGGGTTGATGGAAACCAACCGCAGATATCTTCATATCAATACTCGACTGGATCTGATGGTACCTCATGGACATCACATCAGCCTGTGGAGAATGGGAACTATTCAAATTCAAACTATTACCATCCACAGCCAACAGGGCCAGGGACGGGAAACGTGCAAGAAATGCCGAATACTGCATCTTTCACTAGCTCGTCGGCGTCTGGAACTGCTAATGTGGCGCAAGATTATAGTGGATATACGCCTTACCAGACCCCTTCTGACCCACACAACTATTCAAACACGGGATATTCCAATTACTACAGTGGTTATCAACAGCAACCTAGCCAGCAGTCATACCCTCAGCCTGCAGGGACGTATCAAAACACAGGTGCTCCTTATCAGCCTCTTTCCTCATTTCAGAATCCAGGATCTTATGCTGGGACTGCAAGTTATTCAGGAACTTACTACAATCCTGCTGATTATCAGACTACTGGAGGTTACCAAAGTACAAATTATAACAACCAAACGGCTGGAGGTTACCCAAGTACAAATTACAGCAATCAGACTCCTGCTTCAAACCAAGGAAACTATACGGATTATACATCAAACCCTTATCAAAATTATACTCCCGACGCTGCTAACACTCCTACCTCCACTATTGCAACCACAACACCTGTACATTATCAACAGAATTATCAACAGTGGCCAGATTATTACAGTCAAACAGAAGTCCCCTGTGCCCCGGGCACGGAAAAGTCGTCTGTCGCTAGTGCATATAGCCAGAGCTTTCCAGTTCCTGCTGTTACTAGTGAAATGCCTGCTTCAAATGGTCAGCCTGTCCCGTCGTACGCTCAACCTTGGAGGCAGGAAACCGGCTCATCCCAACCAGCACCTTCTCAGCAGGTTCAAATTTTACTCTTATGAGGGAGTAGAGCAAATTTGCATTCTTAAGCTTATTGTAGTTTATAATGGTTATCCCTGCTTGCAGCTTATTCAGAAAATGTGTGTTGTTCTCTTGATAAGTCAACTAAGCAATACTTGATAGTTGATAGTCAATTATTAGAAAATTTTATGTGCAGATAGCTTAGACGTGGTCACTAATTGCTTTCTTTCACCGGAGTCTTTTTTATTGGAAATTCACCTTATAATGAAAACTTAATAGTCATTTTAATCATTCTGTCAGCCTGGTGTAGCGGGTAGTACCTCTAATGATGCTTACTGGATGCATCAAACATCAACTGTGCAAGCTCATTATCCGGTTCCTCCACAAAATCATTACCAGAGTCCTCTGGAGACAAAACCCTTATATGAGACTCCCTTTCAGGGTCATCAGAGAGCTACATATCCTCAAGAACTGAACTCCCAGTCTTCCATTCATCAGGCGCCATTAGGCTATCGTCAGCCTACTCAGACAACACCATCAGTAGATACGCAAAGGGTAAGCAAACTACAGATTCCAACTAACCCTAGAATTGCTTCAAACTTGCCATCAGGTTTTACCAAAATGGATAAAGATAGTTCGGCAGCTGGTGCAACCCAAAGACCTGCTTATGTTAGTGTTTCAATGCCAAAGCCGAAAGACCATACCACTGCTATGCCTGATGTAAGACTCCTTTTTCGATTCTTGATTACATGTTGGCCACTGTAAATTGGTGTATTGAGTATTTCTTTGTTTTATAATTGACATTTGAAACAAATAATCCTGTTGCTTGTAGCCTGGAGCCCTCCCGAAATCGCTTCGCGGGTTTGTTGAGAGGGCTTTTGCACGCTGCAAAGATGATAAAGAAAAGGCATCTTGCCAGGCTGCCCTCAGGGAGGTAAATGTTAGTAGGAATAGTAGACTCACTGTTACACCATTTTAGCATGATAAATTGTTCCTTCTGGTCACTCATTGTGCTCATCTTAATGTCAATGCCATATTTGTATGAACTTCTTCAATTTGATATTTCGAGGAGATGTGTAGTATGTTTAAGATGTTTTTATGCCTTTTCTCGGAACTAGAAGAAAACAGTTTGCAGTTATAGAATACAATGTTCATTTTTGGTTGCTTATTTTTGTATTTCTAGATCATCATCAAAGCTAAGGAGGATAAAACACTTTGTACTCGGGATTGGGATACTGAGCCTCTCTCATCTGTCCTGTACACAGATGTGACTAGCACTGAGTATGACCCTTTTTCCTTCCTTATCTCCACCCTGCATGATCTATAACTTTCGTTCTTCTTTATTGCATGTTTGGAACATTTACTTTGTATGTTTTGCTACTAAGTTTTACACTGCATTGCAGGTCAAGCTCCACTCTTATTTCTTCGTTACAAAATAAGAGCCCAACAAGACGACCCAAAAGTAGATGGGAGCCGTTAACGGAAGCAAAACCATTTGTTAAGTCACCTCCAACTTTCAGCACTGGTGTTAAATTTGGAGGGTGGAATCACCAAAATGAAAATAATAAAAAGGTTAACTGTCTTTTTTTATTATTGTGAAGGGATGAGCTGCTGGTGATACGGATTATACATTTATTTATGTCGTTGGTTAAATGTGTATTTAGCTGTTAGAAATTCTCTTCTTGCAATCAACTGGTTCTGATAAGATTTTTTGCAGAGCTCTGAGAGTTTTCCAAAGGTAGATGCTGTCACTGGCTTCAAGCCCTCTTACGCTGGGCAAAATTCTGCAAAGAAGAATTTCCAGCGGCCTGTCAAGCGACAGCGTTTTTCTGGTGGTGCAGCTACTGCCATTGATGATGAGGCATCTAGTGATAGTGACAAGGAGTTGACACCTTACTATTCCAGCGCAATGACACTTGCTAGTTCTGCCGAAGAAAAGAAGCGGCGTGATAGTCGTTCCAAGCGTTTTGAGAAAGTTCAAGGGCACAGTCGAGGGAACAATCTTCATAAACCTAAGAATGCAAATGTTGGAAATTTACATTCTAGAAGATCCCCTGCGTTGAGGCTTAGCAGAGATTTTGATGAAAGTGGCAACAGAGCTGTGGAAGACATTGACTGGGATGCACTAACTGTAAAAGGAACTTGCCAGGAAATTGAGAAACGTTATCTCCGTCTTACTTCTGCACCGGATCCTTCCACCGTAAATATCACTATCTTGTATCGAATAATCTTTTCGAGACCCTGGCTGATATTTTTGATTGACTTATTTGTAACCACACTGCTTTGCAGGTAAGGCCAGAGGATGTGCTGGAAAAAGCTCTGTTAATGGTTCAGGATTCTCAAAAGAATTATCTTTATAAATGTGATCAGCTAAAGTCTATTCGCCAAGACCTCACAGTACAACGGATACACAATCATTTAACAGCTAAGGTATATTATTGAGTTCCTTATGACGCTGAGTGTTCTTGCATATAGTATCCATTTCTTGGTGGAGTTGTTTATCCTAGTTACAAGACCTGTCACCCAATGAGCATGTTTATGATGGTTCCATGTTTAATGTCTATTTCAGGTTTATGAAACACATGCTAGATTGGCTTTGGAGGCTGGGGATTTACCTGAGTATAATCAGGTTGGTACACTAGCACATGTTGCAGAATAATAATCAATGAGATTGTCTATATCTAATTCGGTATTGAAAACAATTTTTTTCCTAATTTAAAGAGTACCAATCACTGCCAGAATTACATTGATGTTTCATTTTTTTTCAAAAGCAAGCCTGTAAGATCTCAGTGTGAAGCTTATGTAGCTTCGGTTTGCATTGATTCTGCAATATAATGATGCTGTTTCATCTTGTAAAATATATCTCTTGTATATTCTTGAGGAGACTTATTATAAATCACAGTGTGTTAGTAGTCTTGCTAAAATTTGTTTTTATCTTTGTTACAGTGCCTATCACAGTTAAAAATCCTCTATGCAGAAGGTATAGAAGGATGCTCTCTGGAGTTTGCTGCGTACAGTCTGCTCTATATTACCTTACACTCTAACAACAACCGAGAACTGTTATCATCTATGTCCAGGTTAGTACTATTAAATTTCCTTTTCTGGGGTTTAAGCTATCATAGTGTTTGCTACACAAATTCTGTGAGTCACCAACTGGGAATAGTATTGGAATTATGAATGTTCACTCCATCTGTCTGTTAGTCGAGTTTTTCTTACATCCCTTCCTACCAGTGTGAAAAGGTTACTCCTTTCAATTGGGTTTGAATGCATGAGATTGTGTAATATTGTGATCTCTGAAAGTATTTTTTTTGTTCTGTAGGTTATCGGAAGAAGCTAAGAAGGATGAAGCAGTTAGACATGCTCTTTCAGTTCGTGCAGCTGTCACATCAGGAAATTATGTTATGTTCTTCAGACTCTACAAAACTGCGCCAAACATGAACAGCTGCCTCATGGGTGGGGAACATATCACATATAAAAACTCTTTTGATATGTTTGAACAATTGAATAGATATGTAAAGAAAGAAAAGGGTGGAATGAAATTGTTTTCATGTTTGTTTGCAGATCTCTATGTGGAGAAGATGCGTTATAAGGCAGTGACTTTTATGTCTCGGAGTTGTCGTCCTACAATCCCAGTTTCATACTTAGTCCAAGTGTTGGGCTTTGCTAGTGCTTCAACCGAAGGTAGTGGTGGTAAGGAGATTGATGGTATGGAAGAGTGTTCGGAATGGCTAAAAGCCCATGGTGCTGCCCTCATTGCTGACAGCAATGGAGATATGCTTCTAGATACCAAGGTAAGTCTTCTTTTTGCATTTGCCATAAGTTTATGATGAGACATGAGGTTCACGTATAAATGCCGAGTTCCTTAATCTCAAGATATGGATGTGGACTGCACTTATGATATTCCTCGTGCAGGCGTCCGCAACAAGTCTCTTCATGCCAGAACCTGAAGATGCAGTTGCTCATGGAGATCGAAATCTAGATGTCAATGATTTTTTTACGTCGTCGCGTACATTATGAAAAGATTAATGTTTGTTTTAGTCTGATGAGAAAAAGAAGAAGAAGCATTAAAATGCCAAAGTGAAGGGGTATCATCTTAAGGAGACCACTGAACATAATTCCAAGGCTGTCTCTCCAATCATCATCTTCTGCCACACTCAATCTCAGGTATGAAACTTTTAGGTTTATAATACTTAATAGGTGTAGTAGGAAACCTTTGAAAGAGAAGTTAGATTGTGTTTGTAATTCGTTTTTGTGAATATGGAAAATCCTTAATTCTTTCTATAAACACTTTTGAGATGCTTTAAAAAGACAGGGAATCCAGGAAAAAAAAAACACTGATAAATCTTTTACAATATGGAAAAAAAAACATTTTTCATTAAACAATTCAAGGGAAAATACAAGCATGTGTTGTTTTGGGCCTTTTAGCACTCTTATTTCCTCTTGTTTTTGCTTCCAAGCAACAAAGAGAAGTAAAACAAAACCCTAAAAAGGAACCCGAAAGCTACCGTGATAAGCAAGCAATGCCATTTGCTGATCTGAGTCACTCCTTGGTGCTTGAGAATGTCCGCGCCAGTGGTCAAACACGTCGAGCTTGTTATCCTCGTCCCGAGCGACTGGCTCGCCGTATCAAGCAGGCTCAGCTTCATTTCGTACGACAATTTCTCTAACAGAGTATTGTCGAAAGTCTGAACTCCTCTGGAAAAACACTTGGTCGCATCCGAAAACTCGTTCTGCAAAGCCGCTTCGTATGAATATTTCACCAGGGACAGGTAATGAAACCAAATCCAGTAATCAGGTATTCGGTCTCTGTTGATGAAGAATCCACTAAACAACAAGACGTAGGCTAAAATGGCGAAGAGGATTGTGTAACCTATCAACACATTAGGAACAATTCCTGATAGAAACGTGACGAAGGAGCTACCTGACCAGAAAGAGGCTAAGATGATCAGACAGTAGAACAAAAATCCCATTGAGCCTCCGTCTAAGCCTACTGCCCAAAACGTCGTCCCTGCGAAAACTACAGTGAGGACGACGAGCAACGGGAAAGCAACAATGGCGTGAGAAAGAACGTAGGAGGATTTCCGGTAAGTGTTATATGCAGTTTCTCTCATGAGGATGTAACGTTCTTGGAGAAAATCTGGGAGTGCTTCGGCGCAAGTGAAGTACATTGTTGACATGCCGAATGCGAAGAACCCTAGTCGCTCTCGAATTCCTTTTGGGGAATTATCTAATCGCCAGAAGACGGTGGCTAAGATGAATCCGGTGATAAAGACGGTGACCAGTTTGATTGCGATGAGCTCTGGTTGTCTTCTAGAATTGAGCATTGACCGTTGCGAGAGAGTCTTGATTTCGATCCAGCTCGGGTTTGCGAATGCAGGGATGGCTAGGGTTGTGGTGTTGGTGGTGGTTCCGATGGATTCTCCGCCGGAGACTAGCTTTCCTCTGCTTATACTTGCGGTGATTGCTTCTTTTTGGGTTAGATTTGGGTGCAGTGATGACGAAGGAGTCATTTCTTGCCATTTTTTGTTGAATTCGACTAATCGTCTTGTTCCTCCGGCGGATCCTTCAAGCTCACGGATGAGATCGAGCGCGAATTCCGTTGTGTTCTCGTTCCCCGGTATCGGACTTCCGAAGTCTGAGAAGAAACGCGGAAGACTCGCCGGAGATCCGCTGTATACGGTTTGGCCACGAGACAAGAAGATCAAACGGTCAAGCAATCCGAGAACTCTGTGACTCGGCTGGTGAATCGACATGATTACGATACTGCCACTCTGAGCTATCTTCTTCAACACGTTAACCACCATGAACGTACTCGTCGAGTCCAAACCAGAGGTCGGTTCATCGAGGAAGAGAAGAATCGGGTCATGGATGATATCGATTCCAATCGAAACACGTCGCCTTTCACCACCGGAGATTCCACGGTGACCTTCGTCTCCGATGATCGTTTTAGCTGCGTTTCTGATCCCTAATTGATCAATCAAAGCTTGAACACGAAGCTTCTTCTTCGATTTAGGTAAACTCCTTGGAAGGCGAAAATCGGCAGCGAACATTAGGGTTTCTTCGACGGTAAGCATTGGATAGAGGAGATCATCTTGCATCACATAAGCTGATATAGTTTTTAGCATACGAGATTGAAGAGTTTCTCCGTTTAGCTTCACCGTTCCTTTCAAGCTTCCTTTAGCAATCCGATTCGCCAATGCATCGATCAGTGTTGATTTCCCCGAACCACTTGCTCCGAGAACAGCCATGATCTCTCCATTTCGAGTGTTTCCTGAGATGTTATCAAGAAGGGTTTTAGTACTCGCTTTTCCGGTTTGAGGAATCTCAGGATCCTCTGTTTTCCGCCACGGAATGAGATTGCTGAACTCTGGTTTCCGGGGAACAGAGACGCTGTATGTGAGATTGTCGAAAGAAAGAACGAAAGGAACATTAGTACGCATGAGATCATCGTCTTCTTCTTCGTCCCGGTTCAAGGGTTCGAGTACTGGACTCTCGTCTCCAATGGCTGGTTTCTTGACGTTCTCAACAAGTTGGCCAAAAGTGGAGTCGGAAACGGAGAAGATGGAAGTCATAGTGACTTCAACTTTTTCAAAGTGACAAATTGAATATTTGCCTTGAGGTACACGAAACTGTGTTTAACGACTTTCGTTGCTCTCTCTCGCTGTCTCTACGACGAAGAAGTGTTTATCGTTTAGTTAGATTGAAATTTTATTGGTTATGTCGATAACATCGACCTACATATAGGTCTAAGAAAGTCTCCTTGCATGCATTGGTGTGTTTAGCGTAACGGACGTGCGCACACATATGGTGATGATAGGCAATTAAATATTTCACAATACTTCTGTGTGGTTTAGTTATTACGCTTACATATTAAAAGTTTCATTTTCTTAAGCTAGAACATCATTTATTGTCTACTGAAAAATAATGATAAAATTTCATAAAACAAACAAAATTCGGGTTAAATATTGGGGAAATTGCAAAAATGCCACTTTTTATGTGCACATTTGCAAAAAATGCCACGTAGGGAGGGGTGTTTATTTGCAAAAATGCCACTAATTATAGATTT